TACTCTAATACATCTTTATTTTAGATCCTTACGCAAACCATGTTTGTCAATGTTTGATAACTTTGTGTAATGATTCTCAACGAGATTTTATACTTAGTTTGATTGGTCATAAAGTACCTCAACTTGCGCGAGATGCACATGGAAATTATGTATTGCAATGCTTAATTAAACACATCACGACCAGGGTCCAGGTAAAATATATTGATTGATTGAATTTTTATATAATAACTGCGTAAACTGTATTCTTTCTTGCGTTCAGGCAATCCGCCTCATTTCTTATCTTGCAAAGGATGTCAAAGATCTCATCGTGGATAGTTATGGTTTGTTCAAGATTCTCTTTTTACACTAAGCTCATCAAATATTTACAAGAAATACTTTTTCTTTTCGTAAATTAAGGCAATTTTGTTCTTCAAAAGACTATCGAATTTTGGCCTGCTGAATTAACACAAGTAAAGTAATATTATTACTGTTTGTCTTTTTTTATCAATTATCAATATTGATAATTTATATATTTTTTAGTTTATATACAACGGAGTTTGTGAAAACATTCTTGATATCGCTTGCAATTCTCATGGTTGCTTTGTCGTAAAGAAGTGCTTTGAATATGGCACTCATATCCAAAAAAGTCTTGTACAATCTGCAATTGTGGCAAACACTTTAATTTTAAGCCAGGTATCATTAAAATTTTCTTTTATTATTTACAACTATGTACAGTACGTGATTTTTTATTTTCCCATCATATGCCTATTCATAACTAGAATATCACTGGTCGTATCGTTTTACAATACGTTCTTAATATCGGTGAACCTCTTTATTTCGAAACTATTCAAAAAAAGTTACGAGGGTCTCGTTTTGAAATTTTTTTTAAAGAATCGGATTACCAAATTCAAAAAAGTCATTAATTAAAATTTTGCAATTAAAATGAGAATCTTTTCTTTATTCTTGCTTGTCAATTATATATATATATATATATATATCTGTTTTTTTTTTCTTTTTTTTTTTTTTTTTTGCTTTTTATTTTTATATTTGAAAGAGAAACTGGATTAAACAGTCCAAGCAAAATTTTTTTTTTTTGACTTTACAAATTTTGCTTTTTTTTTTTTTTAATATAGATTACTTCATTTATTTTTTTTTTACTTAGATTACTTTTTTATTTTATTTGTACTTTATTTGTTTTGATGCTTTCTTTTTTTTTTATAATATCTATTGTTCAAAACTTTTTTCAGCTAGTTTATAAAATTGTAAAACGCTTCTCATTTTTTTTTTTTTTTTTTTGCATTTCTGGTCGATAAAAAATACTGCAATATTAATAATGTTTTATGATATCTTGAAGAAATAGAGTTACGAAAAAATCATGAATTTTTCTCAATTTTATTAAGTTTATATTTAAAAAGTTACTAATGCACTAATAATTGATTAGAACTTGTCATATAAGTAAATGACCATTGTCTTTCGAACATATTTAATAAACGATTAAGCTTCATTAGATCTTTAACTTTTCTTATATTGTATAGTACATATTTATTTTTGAGATCCTCAGAGTTTTGTATAATAGCTCATTAAAAAATATATCTGAAAAAATTGTAACTTATCAAACTCATCAATATGCAAGAAACAAATACAATTATTAACAAATCTCAAAGGTGAGTAATCTATTAACAAAATATTGTAAAAATTATGAAAATAATAATTATTTATTTATTTTATTTTATATATATATATATTTTTTTTTTTTTGAAATGAAAGAGATAATAAATAAATCAATAAAGTAAATAATAAATATTCGATATATAAAATATATCATTTAATAAACAAAAAACCAAAGCAAGTACAATAAGGCCGCCCGCGTCAGTGAAGTGGTGTTTGTAAATTT